GACCAGGATCGTAACAATTGGTATCGGAGCGGACTTACTTGCTGGCGAGAGGTGTTAGTCACCCTAACCCTRATTYCGAATTAGGTTAAGGCTGACCTAATCTCGGATTAGGGTTGGGAAGTTAGGGTTAAGTGGGGCAGCGAGGTATGGGGATGCTGCCCCCACCTGGTTAGGTCATGTAGGGTCGACATTTGACCCAACCAGGTTGCTTGRGTGAATGTATGGGGTGGCGAGACACAAAGGAGGCTGTTTGGAGTAAGCGAGAGGGAGTAGAGAGTGAGAGGTACTCGCACCTGGAATCTGGACTTCAGGAAGACACTGAGTGACTTTTGGGCTTCCCCTCAAGAGGGAGACTTGATCGGAGGCTGCCATATCTGCATCGGATTGCTGCAAGTTGCTACTTTGGTCTTCAGGCATCGACGGGGGATCCAGCTTTGCAACAGGGGTGTAGGAAGGCCCTCTTAGTCATGCTAGGACACTTCGTGTAGTGGTAGCTAGGGGTCAGGAGGACTTATATGAGAGGGGAGTGACTCGTTATCCAACTTTGGAGGTCGGGCCTCGCAGGTAAGTGCCGTGTGACCTGGGTAAGCCCGTGGGAGGTTGCTTGGTGCTTCATAGCCTGTTGGGGGTGTGATGGGTTCTCTTCCTCTTCTCTGCGGTCTTGGTTGTGTGTGTGAGCTTGTGGATTGCTTTCTCACCTGATGGATGGATGGATGATGTATCTACTCTAAATGACATATCGTTCTACGGTGCATTGTCTTTTCATTTCTGAACGGCTGTAGAAGTGAGTTCTTGCTGAAAGTTGTCTTTTCCTTTTCAGTACGGTAGAGGCAGTTTGGGACCGACTTGGCACCCCTATCACGTTGGTCCTGGTCCACGGCCTACTTGGGACCCCTCGGGACCCAGTGGGACCAGGCCCAACGGGACAGGACCTTTTGGGCCCAGATCTGCTGCCGTCGGTGCATTACTTTGCTGTGCTGAATCTGGGGGACACACGGACAGCAAGGGGATTTTGGCTGGTCTTACCGCGTGTGATCACATACTGCCCCGCGTCTGACTCGGCGACCATCTGCACCCCTCGAAATCTCCATTGCTGCAGTTAGTCTTCTTCGTCTGATTTATTGTGCTGACACGTCCTCTGTCAGGTTAGACAAGAGGGGATCTCCAGCTGATCTGATCGGGCCCGTTCTATAAATCAGACCTCTCTGTTGTTTTATTTATTTTTTGTATTTATTTCTTCTGCTGCGTGCCACGTTCTCAGTCCAAATGATTCGCCGCTCCGGCTAGGAGTTCTACCTTCTTCTCTAAGTGGTTTTCTGTTTGTTTCCTTTATCTGAACTATCTATGTCCAGTATCGAGACGAGTGCGCAGACAGCGAAAAGAGAGGAAAGGGAGAGAGAAGGTGTGCTGTTTGAGAGTGTGAGGAGGGGCAAGAGTAGTGTTCGTCCAAACATAAGGAGAGAGCGGACCCCTCTTGAGAGCACTACTGACATTCCTTTCTCCAGCATGGCGGTCATCACGTCTGACCAATGGCAGGCCTTGCTGGACGCAGCAGACGAGAGTCAGAAACCGTTCTTTCAAAAATTGTATGATGATGCCGTACAGAGGGAAAGGGAGGTGGAGGCAGCAGCTAGAGCTACGAGCATAGTTGCGCAAGAGGCCCTCCTACAGGTCCCGGAAGCCAATGCTGACCGGTTCCAGGAGAGGCTAGCTGCTGCCGTCGCAGCCTTGGTCCGACTGCGGAACTTGGAAGATCTCGAGTCCCGTGTGACAGCACTTGAGCAGCGGAACCAAAAGCTGCAGGCTAAGGTAATTAGCCTTGAACAGTCCCAACTATCTGCCCCTCGCCTTCCTAACCCTCGATCTGCTGTAATGCCAGTCTCTCAGCCTAGCACAACCCTCGTTCCAAGGGCCAGCGGAACTGTGGCAAGTACAGGAATCGGTGCCAGCTCCTCAAGCGGCAGCACTGGCGATTCTGCGCTGGTCGCAGTCCCAAATGCAGGGACTTCAGCCCAAAACGCCACAGTTCTTACTGGCGTTCAGTACAGCGGTCCCATGGTGGACAAGCGGGCGGCCACGCTGCCGTCCAAGTACGACGGGAAGGCTGACATCACCTCTAAGATTAGTTCCATGCGGTCGTACTTCGAGGTCATGCGGATACCGCAAGAGGACCGAAGTATGATCATGGGAACTAATACCGAGTCTGCCGTACGAAACCACATTGAGCTCCAAGCTGTTGCTGCAGGCTATGCACGCATAGACCTCACTGATTGGCTGAAGGTCACCCCTGTTCGCACCCTTGAGGATCTTCTCCTTGACCGGTATCAGGATAAACATGCTGCGCTCAAGGCTAGACTGAAGCTTGAGGCCCTCAAGGGCCAAACATGGAGGTCATCCATGCAGGCTTTGGAACAACACTTGACTGGTCTATTCACCRCTCCGGATCTAGGAATGACTGRCGTGTCTTGCATGRATGTAGTCATGGGAGTGGCCCCTAAAGAATACCTCTYCCTGCTAGCACTCAAAGACCATGCTACCTGGCGGGAGCTCATGAAGGACCTAGTCGACCTAGAGGCCAAGGACCTCGCCAGGCGCAAGAAGGCGCCCGCTGCAGGTGGGAAACCACAATGCAAGCGGTTTGGAAGCAGCAACCAGCTTGCACTGCATGATCATCGGGAGGCTGACGATCAGTCCTATGCGGATGATCTGTCTCTAGATGACGATCTAGAGCCGAACTCCGATACGGGTTGTTCCACATCAGCCATTGAGTGTGACCGAAATGATGACGAAAAACTTGATGCATTCAGAAAGATTGCTTCGAATAAGGGGCCTAATCGTGGTTCGGGTAAGGGAACAATTATACACCTTCCCAAGAATGCTAAGATCCCTGAGAAACCGGAGGACGCTTCCACCAAACCTTGGGAAGCCCTCCGCATCAGCCAAAAAGAATAGGAAAGAAGATCCAAATTGCGCGTATGCTTGCATTGTTCAAAGCTTGGGCATGCTGTGCAGGATTGTTATCGTCTTCAGGGAAACAGGCAAGGGGCGTAGAGGAGTCATCAACACTCTCTACAGCAAAGGAAGTTGGGCAGTAAGTTGCAGGCCCTTCCGAGGAGCCTGGACCTGATCACCAGCGTTCTCTTGAAGCCCAAACTAATGCTGAATCCAAGGCTGACGCAGTCCAAGTATTGTACACTGAGCCTTGGGAGGAGTCTAAAGAGGTCGACCTCCACGCCCACATGAAGCATTGGCTGCAGCTCAAGCAGCAACGCCGTGTTCAAGGGAGCATGGAGCTGATTTTCTTTAAACTACTCATTAACCGTTGATACATCCGTGTGCTGATTGACAGTGGTTCGACCACTAATTTCTTCTCTCCGAACGGGATTCGTAAGGCGGGCCTGGGTATGAAGCAAGTGGAACTGCAGAACCCTTGCCGGACTCAGGTGGGCAACCAAGACGTTGTCACTTCTACTCATGCTGTCAAAGGTGTGCGCATCACCTTTGACAAAGATCGCACTGTCACACATGAGCTGAATTTCTATGTCTTGGACAAGTGTCCTTTCGACGCGGTCATTGGCTTGGGCTGGCTAAAGGCTCATTGCCTAAGGACCACGTGGGAAGACATCCAGTTCGTGCTACTTTATGCCAAGGGGAACAAGCGTACCGTCTTACTAGACGAGACGCGCGAGTCCCTTGTGACTCTTCTCAGTGCTAACAAATTCTGCAAGTCAGTGCGCAGGCGCAAGGAAGCTGAATTTGTACATATAGCTCTTGTAAAGCTTTTCCACGTGCCTTCTACTTTTGCTGCATTTTCTACCTCTGAAGGTAACTCTACCTCTACTACTACTACTTTTGTTCCACCTACTTCTGTTGTCAATGATCAATCTAGTTCGGAACCAAATATGTCGAAACCGGTTGTGATTGCTGTAAATTCCCAATCTGATTTTCTCTCTCCAGATGAGGATGATCCTCCACCAGAAATCCCAGCGAACATTCGTCATCTATTAGATCGATTTCCTGAAGTGTTGGCTGAACCTCGCGGAGTTCCCGAGCGTCCAGTCAAGCACAAAATCGAGATAATAGAAGGGAGTGTTCCTCCAAAGGGCTGCGTCAACCGTATGGGACGAGGCGAGTTGGAGGAGCTGTGGAGGCAAATTGATGACATGATTGATCGTGGATGGATTAGGCCTAGCGAGTCTGAGTTCGGCGCACCTGTTTTGTTTGTGCCGAAGAAAGGAGGCAAACTTCGGATGTGCATTGATTATCGTGGTTTGAAGCGAATCACAAGGAAGAATGGTTACCCTTTGCCTCGTATAGATGATCTGTTGGATGCGGCCGGTGGATGCAAAGTCTTCTCCAAGATCGACCTCAAGTCTAGCTACCACCAGATTGAAGTTGATCCGAGCGACCAGCACAAAACTGCGTTCAAGACACGCGACGGGCTCTACGAATTCATCGTTATGCCCTTCGGCCTTACGAACGCACCAGCCACATTTCAGTCCCTCATGGACAAGGTACTCCGCCACCAACTTAACATGTTTGTGGTTGTGTATCTTGATGACATTCTGATTTTTAGCAAGTCCATGGAGGAGCACGTCAAGCATCTCGAGGAGGTCTTGCAAGTCCTCAAAGATGCTCAACTGCACCTCAACTTGAAGAAATCCGAGTTTGGCAGGGACAGCGTCATCTACCTTGGGCACCGGTTGTCTGCAAGCGGTCTTGAGCCGGAGGCAACCAAGGTTGAGGTCATCCGCAACTGGCCTCAACCGACGAATGTACGCGAGCTGCGTTCTTTTCTTGGTTTGGCTTCTTACTACCGGAAGTCTGTGCCTAAGTTCTCTGTCATTGCTCACCCACTCTCACGCCTGACTAGTAAAAATGTTGCCTATGCGTGGTGTGAAAAGTGTGAGACTGCGTTCCAAGCCTTGAAAGAGGCTTTGGTGAGTCATCCTGTGCTCCGCATTGCGGATCCCAACCTCACGTTCGTAGTCACTACGGACGCGAGCCAGTTTGGGAGTGGTGAAGTGCTGCAATAAGATGATGGCGATGGCCTGCGTCCGCTTGAATATTACAGCAAACCCATGCCTCGCCACAAGGTAGCCACTTCCACATACATGCGGGAGCTCTACGCCTTGCGTGAGGCGCTCATGCATTGGAAGCACTACCTCTTGGGTCGCCACTTCAAGGTCTATTCAGATCATCAGACCTTGTAATGGATTAAGACACAAACTGATCTCTCTCCAACTCTGACCCGCTGGCTGCATGACGTTGATGTTTTCAACTTTGAACTAAAACATAAGAAAGGCTGCTATAATCGTGTTGTTGATGCTCTGTCGCGCCATCCCGAGTATTTGACTTGCCTTGTGGACTCGTACGACCTCCGGAGGAAACTGAAGGAGGATCTGGTCGAGCACACTGCCAAGGATCCGGACCTTAGTCCCATCCTTGAGCAGCTCAAGGCTGACCCCAATAGTCAGCCTGATTTTCATGAATGCGAGGGTCTTGTATTTCGTCGGTACGGAAAGTTTGACCGTCTGTGTGTACCCAATCATGCGCCTCTCCGAACTCACTTCTTGGATTTGGCGCACGGTCAGAGTGGACATTTTGGCTTTGAGAAGACTTATGGAAGTCTTTTGCAGCAATTTGATTGGCCAGGAATGAAAGGATCTGCTCAGAAATTCATCGTTGAATGTCAAGTATGCCAAAGAATCAAGGTCCACAGGCATAAGCCTTATGGCCTACTGAGACCTCTCCCCATTCCTGATGGACCCGGTGAATCGATTTCCATCGATTTCACGGACATGGGAAAGGTGAGTGAGGCTAGGAATTCACAAGTCATGGTCATTGTGGACCGCTTCTCCAAATTTCTGAACTTGATTCCTCTCCCTTCTCACGCCCCGACTGAACTTGTAATAGAAGAATTCCATCAGCAGTACATTCTGCAGTCCGGCGTCCTGAAAACTATTGTGAGTGATCGGGACACCAGATTCATCAGCAAAGATTGGAAAGACTTAAAGTCTCAGATGTACGACATCAAACTGAACAGGACTTCTGGTCGACACCCCGAAGCCAATGGATTGGCTGAGGAGATCAACCAGACTGTCATCCAATTGCTTTGCGCACTAATTGTTCCAGATTAGAACACGTGGGACAAGGAATTGCACAAAGTGAAGGGGTTGTACAACAACTCCATCCATTCTGCGACTGGTGTGACACCAAACCAATTGCAGTATGGATGGCATATGCGGAATCCCCTCTCCTATCTGTTCCCCGAATGGTCACCTGGTCTGATGCCCGGCATGCCTGGCTACAATGCCAAGTACGCGCGCTTGCTCAAGGCTGCTACAGCAGCTATGAACAAGCGCCAGCATGCCATGATCAAACATGCCAATAAGCTGCGCAAAGAAGAAAAATTCATAGTAGGGGATTATGTTTGGGTCAAAATGTCTGAGTTTTCTGATGAAGAGGGCATATCACGGAAGCTTCTTCCACTGTACTACGGCCCTTGGCAGATTCTGAAGGTAGTCGGGGATGACTTCGGTCCTTCGTACGTGATTGACGTGCCTCCTCACCTGCGCACATGTCCAGTCTTCCATGCCTCCAAACTGTTCCCACACATTGATGATGAGACTTTTCCCTTCCGTGACCCTATGATACCTCGCCCTATCGACGGCGGCCATGAGATTGACATAATCGTTTCTCACGAGGGGAGAGGGAGGAACAGACAATACAAAGTTCATTTCCTCTACCACCCGTTGAACGAATTCTTCTGGATCGACCGGAAAGAACTGATAAAGAGTGCTCCACGTGTTGTGAACGCATATGAACGACAGATTGTTGACAGACAGACCGCTAAGTTTGCTGCAAAACTCACTCCGTTCGGACTCACTCCGTTCGGACTCACTAACACTCTCTTTTTGATCTATGCCTATGACGCCTTCTGTGTCGACTCTGACTGAGTTACTCGCTCGAAGGGACCTCGCTCTCGAGAGGGGAGTAATGTAATGACCCGCCCAAAACACAGACTGAGAACACTGCTGATTTCTGGGATTTGTCAATGGAATGAATGCCTTGTTGTGATTCCYGCATTCTGCTGTGSTCCCAAGTCTGTGTGTGTGCGTGCCTGCTGGTTTGCATGCCTGTCTGAGTGCTTGCCGGTTGTGTGTGTGTGCGTGCCTGCTAGGTTGCATGCCTGTCTGAGTGATTGCTGGTTGGGTATGTGTGTGACCCGCCAGGGTACTTGTTGGTTGCAAGGCCCATCAGGCCGGTACTTACCTGTGGCCGTGACTTTGAAGGGTTGCAGGGGGGTAAACATGCCGGTAGCGGGGAGTAGGCCCATGACACTTAGAGCAGCTGGGGAAAAACACTCAAGTAGCAGGTAGGCCGAGCAGAAGAAGACAAAAAGTTGGCATTTTTAGAGGCCTAGTAGCGGTAGGTTAGAGGTAGGCCGGTACCAGTCCAAGTAGCCCGGGTCTAGGGCCTGTGCGGACGATAACAGAGCCTGCAATGATGTTTCCCTCCAAAAGGGAGGAGGTAYCGGTTGCTGGGAGGCCGCTTGGCCTAGGAAGTCACCGCCCAGGAGGCCGGTAGGCCGCTATATCTTCAGGAAGAGCGGTGAGCTCTTCCTCATTTGCGGTATGCAAGGATTGGCGACATGCTGCTGGAGCGCAGCGCTGGGCTGAAGCAGCGCTGCTTGAAGGTGAAGGTCCRCTGGGGCTCGGCCTGGCTATGGCGAGCACCCCAGCTTGAAGGAGGAAGAAGGGGGACATRGTAGGAGAGTGGTAGGGCACTTACCTGGCTATGGTGGACACCGTCTTCATCACCTTGTTGGGCGCTGCATCTGGAAGGCCCCAGTTGGGGTAACGCTGCACCAGGGCAGCTCGAGGCAGAGTCAGGCATAGCGGACCAAGTCAAGCAGCGACATAGCTGCTTTGAGTTGTCTTTCGGGCATCAGGGCAGCATCATAGCTGCCTTCCAGTAGTCCGCCATGGCCTATGCTTGAGAGAAGAGGTTGAAGGAGGGAAGAC